CTTCCTTCCGCCACTTCCTTCCGCCACTTCCTTCCGCCACTTCCTTCCTTCCGCCATTTCCTTCCTTCCGCCACTTCCTTCCGCCACTTCCTTCCTTCCTTCCCTCCCCTCTGCGGTGTTCTCACAAACGCCGTCAGGCACTGACAGCCAACTCTGCTAATTCCTAAAATCCTTCTCCGCTTTCCGCGGCCCCTCCGCCTCTCCAGCGGCCGCCATTGCCTCCCCCTCACGCCGGGCTCCCCCCGCCGCCCCGGAATGGTTCCTCCCGCCGCGGTTCCTCCCGCCGTGGTTCCTCCCGCACCCCCCGCCCCGTGGCGCGGTGGTGGCGGCCGGCGCGCGGCGCGGTGACGCGCGAGCCATGGCGGCCATGGCGGCGCTGCCCCGGGCGCCGCTGTCGCCGCCTGGCGGGGGCGCGGAGGACGCGGCGGGGCCTGAGGGCGCCGAGGGCCTGTTCGTGCTGCTGGGCGCGGGGCTCGCCGCCGCCAGCCACCCCCTGCTCTACGTCAAGCTGCTCGTGCAGGTCCGCTCGTGGGGGGAGCGCGGGGAGAGTAGGGGGACGGTGGGGTGGGAGTCCCGTGTGTAACGGGGACCGTGACTCCAGGATAACGGGAGGATTTCAGGATAATGCGCCCATGGAAGCCCCCGTGCGCTGGGGGTCATTGTATACACGGCCCTCCCCCGTATAACGGGGCACCTATGGAAGGGGTACGTCAGTGTATAAAACGGGTCCCAGTGGATAATGGGGGATCGGGAGCCCAGTAGAACGGGAGGAGGTGGATTCCTGCATGGTGTCCCTATGGAAACCCCCATGTGCTCGGGTCATATGTACAGTATGCACAGCCCCCGTTACAATGGGACCCCCTGGGCAATGGGGGCATCTACAGAATGGGGGGCACCTATAGAATGGGGGGCTCCCGTATGTAACGGGATGGGGTCCCTGTGTGTGATGGGGGATTGGGACCCCAGTGGAAGTGGATTCCTGTTTTGTGCCCCTGTGGAGGCTCCATGCACTGGGGGTCACTGTATATACAGCCCCCCCATTGTACTGGGACCCCCTGAGCACCTGTAGAATGGGGGACATCTGGGTAATGGAGTCTCTCATATGTAAGGGGATGGGGTCCCTTATACACTGGCAGACCCTATATAAAAATGGGGTCCTATATAATAGGAGGGTGAAGATGCCTTCTTCAGCAGGGGTGGCCTATATAGGGCATAGGGGACACCATATAATGGAGAAGTGAGGCCCCCTCTACAGTGGGGGGTCCCCTATACAGAGGGGCATCGGGACCCCTCCTATGACAGGGAATGGGGACACCCAGTAATCTTGGAACCCCTATAAAATTACTCCTCTGCCGTAGGGCCTTCCATATAAGGAGAGATATGAAACTCCAAGACCCTCCCAGTAACAGAGACCTCCTAAAGTGGGAGGGTGGAGGACCCCCTGCAACCCAGGGACCCCATAAAACAGGGAAAGAAGCGCCTGAGAGTGTTGGGGGGGGATGCTGGGATCAATCCTGTTCATCCCAGGGACTTTGGGAACACCAGAAGAGAGACCTGCTCACGAGATTTCTCTCTCAGGTTGGGCATGAGCCACTACCTCCAACCATTGGAAGAAATGTGCTGGGAAGGAAGGTCCTGTATTTGCCCGGCTTCTTCACCTACGGTGAGTGACTGACCCTCCCTGCCAGCACAAGGTCCTGCCCTCGGGGAATCAGGGCTGGGAGCTGCCAGGCAGACTGAGCTGACCCCCAGCAGCATTCCCACATCCCCTTGGGATCATCCCAAGGCTGCAGTGAGGCATAAACCACCACAACTCCTTGCAAGGCTATCAGATTTATGTGCCTGTTGCTGGGGATGGGGGTGGTGGTGGCCACTGTGTTGGTGCTGCATTGTGCTTCATGGCACATTGCTCTGGGTTTGCCCTGTGGTGGAGGGGTTTGGGGGCTTTCAAGTGGTGTAAGCTTGTTGCAGGAGGATTTGTGTGTTTTGGAGATTGCAAAATACTTTCCTTCTGCTCCAAAACAGCCCTGGAATAACCTGCCCCCTGCCCTGCTCATTTGTATTGTAGATGGAGCCCTAAAGGGACAGAAATACCAAGAAAAGGGCAGGTAATATATTTAGAAGGAAAAAAAGTAGTATTTTCCTATTTTTGTGGGTGGAGCAGCATGGAAGAGGTGGGTGAATACTTTGTGACCTGCTGTCACAGCAGGTTTGCTGTGGGGAAGGGGAATGTATTGTCCTGACAGCCCAGCTGGGCCAATCCCAAAATGAGCTAGTGGTATCCATGGAGTGGAACCACCACAGGAGCAGGATGAGAGCACTGGAAGCCCATCCTGGGACACCCAGGGCTGGAAATGCTCCAGTGCTGCCCTTTGGAAGATGCAATTTCCAAACAGATGGGCAGTGTTGGGTGATGGAGAGGTGCAGAGCCCGCCTGGATTTGTTTGGACAGCGCAGGACAGGGGCCAGGAGCAATCAGTAGCCACCACACATAGTGGATTCTATCCCACCTCGTTACATGTGGGAGAAATGGGATCTCTGGGGTTTTTTTTGCAACTGGAGACCTGAGGAAATTTGCCTGGGAGAAGGTGGTGGGGCAGGAACTGAACATGGGTTTGTGAGATCCATATGAACCCTGAGTCAGACCTTCCTGGGGTGGAGGGAGGAGGTGACAGCACCGAGCACATGGCACGATCCCCCCTGCCTGGTTCAGTCCAAACTAACTTGGAGGCCTTTCAGGTGAGCAAAACATCAAAAGACAAAAAGTAGTCCAAAATATTGGAGCTGTCCTTCCAGATTAGGCAGATGACAGAGAGTAAGAGTTCTTGTCCTCCAGTATGAAGTTTAGTTAGGACTGTTACAATAAAACACTTCCTGTGGGGCCATGGAGTGGCTGCTGTGCTGAGCTGAGCCTGGCATGTTTTTGGCTGAGCCCTGGGGCAGTTTGGGGTGCTCTCCATGCATTGTCCCCTTCCCAACTGACAGCAGCATGGTGTTGTCCCACCCAGCCAGACACATTGTGGAAGTGGATGGGAAAAGAGGCCTCTTCCGTGGCCTGACTCCTCGCCTCATCTCAAGCACTTTATCAACCATCACCAGGGGGAGTGTGAAGAAGGTAAAGGTCGGCTTCTCTCTCCATTAATCACCTGCAGGGTCACTGCTACTGCAGCAAGTGCCTGCAGCCAGGCAGGGACTGGATCAGGTGCACTGATGCACCCATCCCTCTCCATCTCCTAAGTGAATAGTCCTCCTGTGCCCTTATCCCCAAAGCATTTTTTTATTTATAAACCATTTTAATTTAACTTGGCATCCCCTTGCCTTGTATCCTCTGTCAGCAGTTTTGTGACTCCTCTATTCCTCTATTTTACTTTCCATCCTTCTCCTGTGTTCTTTGTTGCCTGTTTGTCTTGATCAAGTGGCTTTTCATGGTTTCCTCCTGTCCTCAGACATTGTGGGT